TAACGAGTTTAGACCGGTCGGCACGAAACGATATCGCAACTATTTGTTCGCCAAGTGGTCACGACGCGACGGTTTAATTTAAATAATGTATGTTAAAATCGGACTTAATACCACGCCTTCTCTCGTGATAAAACTCAGCGAGCGTTTAATTCCCCGACGATTATCGAAATAAAAGCCGAATTTATACCCATGGGATAGGCGATTCGAGTGAGTATTACCAACACAAAGCATTCTCGGTTTGTGATTGCGTAAATATGCTCGGCGAGTTATTGCGATTTTATGTCGATATAATCTCAGGGTATTATAACGACGTTGTAATATCGTTTGGATAAAATATCAAAACATCGTGGATGAAAAACGAATCGTATTTTAAATAAATACGGTAGTTTGTTATTTAAAAAACGAAGAGCAATTTATATGTAGACAGAGAAAAATTTAATATTCCCCTCAGGATTATAACGCACAATCATCGCTTATATTCTGAAGGCCAATTAATTTTTCATGATTTTTTACACAAAAGTGTATTATTTATAAACTTTCAGTATGATAAGTATCTTTAATTATAAATCTATATCTATATAACAGATTTTAAGTAATTAGTTAATAGATTTTTATCTATCTATACATATAATAGATATATCTACCTATATAATATACAAGATATACATATATTATATATCTACGTAGTATAAATTTTTTAATCAAAAGATATGTATCGCACATTTCAAGAAATGAATATCGAACTTCGTAATAATTTACGAGAAAATATTATTTCAAGCAAAATTGTGTATTATATTTTAACAGATTCATAATAATTACTTCATTTTATGATAGTAAATCAATAATTATTATAGAATCAATAACTGTATTTTTTCCCTACAATTCTGAAGCAATTTAAAACTACGGAAACTATTTAATCACAAAAAACTATACATTTTAATAAAATATTCAATACTTTATTAGTATTACTCCGATTGATCTTTGCAAAAATGTAAATGTCACGAAAATTAGCCATATCATTAGAGTTATCGCAAAAATTAATCTGTCCTAAGCTACGGGAATTCCAGGAAATCGAAGCTAACGATCTGAAACTGCGCGAAAACATGCTGGACCTTCGATGTTCACGCCGCGTGATTAACGCTAAACGCTATGCTATACGATTTTGAGTGCTACTGATATAACCGATTGCTTACATGCACGACGCCAGCAAGGGATTGGATTAAAGCAGCCTATATTTGGCGTTCCACGCACGTTGGAAATTCGACTCTTGTGGTTTCGGGATGAATCTTTGAGTGTTGTGCAAGCAGATGCATGTCGACTAAATATTTAGTCGAAATGTTAGCAGAGTTATGGGTACTATATGCGAAATGTCACTAGTTCGAAATCTCAATTTCACGGTTGCACATAATTTCACGGAACATTTATAAGAAAATTATTAACAAAAAATAAGCAAAATAAGAAAACTTTGCATAACGCAATAAATATCGTTATTAATAACTTTAATCTTATAATAATTAATGTTATAATATTTTTGTTACATCTTATAATATTTAATTTTATTTTACTTATTGATACTTATTATTATTAATATATAATCAAACAATTATCTTTAATTAAAACAGATTGTTTCTTTATGTGTAATTTATGTAGCTTCTCATTATATATAAAATAATTTCTATTTTTTGCAACTAAATAATTTAATATTCAGTCGAAAGTAGTACGAATCAAACTCCTATAAATATTTTGTACATTGCAAAATCAAAGCTTATAACAATTCATTGTCAATAAAAACAATAAATCTTTGATTAGATTAATTAGAGAAAGGGAAATAATCTTTTGAAGAATCAAATTAAGAGAAAACGATGAGTAAATATGAATATTAGGCCTAGATACAAGTGTATATAGATATTACAAGTACTCATTATATATATTATTATTCGCTTTAATGGTGATGTTAAAGATTAATTAGGATACGTTTACGTAACACGTGAAGAAAATTGAACAATACACGTCGGAATCTGTCTCAACACGATGTATGCTACTGCATACCGTAGAACGTATTGATGTAGCAACTGATTAATGTAGCAATGTCCGATTCACATCAGGATCATAACCCAATAGATCCCTGATATATTATTCCGCTCGTAAGATCAACTACGCAGAATTCTCGTTAACGTGTAGCGTTCGGTGTACCGACTGCAGGCTTGAACAAATACCACTCAACAACGAAGGCTACACCACGGCTATACCATGGGTATGCCGTGCCGCACGGTCTCGTATAAACGTGTAACAGGCGGAACATTTTGCTCTAGATCCGCCCGATCAATCCCGTCCCATCTGAAAGCACGCGCTGGCACGTATCCTTTTAGAATCGCTAAAGCCCGCCTGCACGTTGCGATGGAACCCGTGAAGCCGTCCGGCAAAGCTCGTTCTATGATCTAAACAGAGTGGCGATCCACCTAAAAGAAAGTCAAAACCTCGTTTCAGCGAATTCGACATTACATTGAAATAGTTTTGTCGATATCAAACTGCTGTTGCAAAATTTTCGCAAACTCTCAAATACGTTTTAAAAAAACACGATAGATAAACGTTTATCTCAAAAGATTTGAAAATAAATTCGTCCATGATATAGAGAAAAGCTCCCTATTATGAGATAGGCGCCTAATATGAGATAGCGGCGTTTCTGCTAAACTAATAAACGCTATCTATTGGTTCCACCATGAATTTATTGCTCTTGGATTGAAAACTATATAGTAGAACATTCATTATTAGGTCATGCCTGTAGTCATTGTAAAGCAAGATTTTAGAATTTGGATATCTTCAAATTTTATTGAGATATATTGAGAGTCTTTAAACCTTGTTTATTATTTAATAAATAAATATTTGGCAATATAAATTCTTCTTGTAGTGATAAAGTAAGGTCGTACTAATAGAAAAATATAGGATATGTCGAATTGTTTGATTACAGAAGTTAGATTTGATGATCGCAAAATCATAAGGCGTGAAAATCGTAATATGAGATACCCATCAGGGTATTTCTAATATGAAATAACCCATGTTCCTATGTTATAGTGAAAATCGTTGCTAAAGTATAAATATTATTGTACAATAATAAAAAAGAACCGGAATGAACGTCAAGTGCCTATTTCTGCGATGCTTGATTCCAATTATCTGAGGATGAGTTCTAGGTACAATCTATCGCATGCTCACTTTTCGCGCACACTGGCTGTGTTTGTTTGCATTTTAGAAATATTAAATAAAGTTTTCTAATTGCACAATACTGATATACTTTGCGTTTTACTTTTATCGATTTCTCCGGGCATCTCATATTAGGAGCATAAATTTTTTTGACTTTGTGATTTGCTCACTTTTTACATTTCTTTAATTTGAAAAAAAAAATGGAATTTGAATTAAATTTTATATAACATTATCTTAAAGCTTATTAAATTCCCTTCAAAATGATCTATTATTTTTTTTAATTCTGCCTATAGACTTCTAGCATTTATCCAAAATAAACTCGGTATCTTATAATAGGGGCCTTTCCTCTAATTAATTCTTGTTCGACGATCGAAAACTAGTAATGTTAATATTACAGTGAACTAATTTGTTAGTTTAAGAGGAATTGAGAATTATTAGATCAGGCACAGATTCACAATTAATCTATGCAAAAAATAAGAATATCTTAATCAACAAAATAGTGTTACAATAATAAAGAATTTGTTGATGGATAAATTAATGTCTATGTACTATAAGACAAAGTTCTATTTCTATCGAAACTGTCCCCGACTATACGAAAGCTTCTAGATAATTTTACAAATATATAATTCGAAAACACTTTCAACGGAATTATTAGGCCGTGATTCCGCAAATACGTGGATCGCCAAGCTTTTGGATAAAGCACTTATAGATCTCAGCTTCAATAAGCTCTTGTGCTGATATAGCGTTCGCAATCGAGAGTTTCTACCTCGCACGCTAACATTAACAGCCGTTATTGTCGACAGAAGCGAGTCTGCGGTACATACTTGGCAACGGTATTCACGTCGATAACTTTCTGTAAACAGGAACACGTTACGCGTCTCTACCAATGTATTGTAGTTTGGCAATCTTGCTGAGTCTTGTTAGAGTTCAGTGGATACGTAGTGCAAGCGTGAAATTATCAATTGAAAGAAAAAGAGGAAGAAAAGGTAAAGTAAATAGAGAGAGAAAAACAGAAAGAGGAAAACAGAGAGAGAGAGAGAGAGAGAGAGAGAGAGAGAGAGAGAGAGAGCGCATACAACGTGTGCAGAGCAAATGTATTCCAGTGTAGCGTACTATTACATATTGATCGAGCGCAATAAAGATTATTTAAAGCCTATTCAATATAATCTATTCAATATAAATTAAACGCCTAAAGCATGCCTATTATTCCACACTAAAGTGAAATCACATGAATGATATGTCTAAAGCATAACCTATTATTCCATTGAAGTGGGCACACATCTATGACTACAAAATACTATTCTATAGAGTCTAATTACACTGCCGACTGTTTTCCTAAGAAAAAAAGATAATCTTCTCGCTACTGCATTATGTAATCAGGCTGCGTATTCAGGATAGAGGCAATTCATACGGTTCAAGAAGAATTACGACAGCCGCTAATAACCGGGCGTCTGATACGAAGAAAGTTCGCCGATCTGTCAGCAGCGACAACATCATAATTCTCGCGAAGACGTCGGAGACAGCCGCGGGGTCGACAACAAGACAGACTCCTCGACGAACGTCGTGCTCCGGTGCACCCCCGCAGCGGTCATCCCTCAGCGGCCGCGGTGCGGCGCCGCCGGTTGGCGAGATAGACGAGGAGAGACCAGGAGAGACAGAAGGGAGGCAGAGAGAAAGAGAGAGAGGAGAGAAACGGTCTGCGCGTAACCGGTTCGCGCTTTATCCGCGGCGAACGCAGCAAAGTCATCGCGCAAGCGCGCGGTCACGAAGTATCCCCCGCAGGATCATTTCGCGCCGCGACGCCGAGCGGCAGGCCTCATCCGCGCCGGCGGCTGGTCCATGCGGGTTCAACGTCGTCGCGCGGGAGAACGACGACGACGGCGACGACGAAGGGCGACGACGATCAGATGTGTACGATGACGATCATCCGGATTAACATTGCTAGTTAATCGGGGAAAAAAAAATACGCGACACACTCGGACTAACCTGATTGCCGATCGAATGCTGCCGACGCGCGCGTCTCGGCCGAAGGATGCTGCGCCTGAGACAGGGCACTCGCGGGTCGCGCGTCGCGACGCTCGTCGTCCAGGCGAAAGATCCACGTGAGCGCGGCTGTCATCGGGGACAGGCGTGCAGGCTGCACCTCGGCCGCGTGAAAACGGGACATCGTCTGTGAGCATTTAGACCTTGATTACCGTGGATTACCGTCGAGGATTTACGATCAATACGCGCATAGCATCTGATAATACTGCTGATATATCGTACCAATCGCGTCTTCCAACGCTTGGGAAGCTTTCGCGCTCTATTCAGAGTTGATAGTTTTAATAAAATCGTGTCATAGCAGTGGTGAATGATTAATCTCCTCGCCAGGTGTTAATCGTGGTGTAATTTCTCTATCGGAACGCAAATGTTCATGTAAGAATTGAAAATTGCTTATATAGTGAAGTACGGAACATGTGTATGGTTTTGCGGTGAAAGTCTTAAGTGTCTACACTCTTTCGAGAAGGCACTATCGATTTGGCAAGAAAACTCAATTCTGTTTTCATTGTGAATGATATGACACAGTGAAGACACTGCACGGTGTGCGGATCCGGGAATATATGTAAAAATCGATGATTACACGTCGTGCTTCACGATAGCGAGTACAAGCAAGGATCGGTAGTGCAGCGAGCGATCGAGGTGTTAAAAATGCTGTGTCGCTGGCTCGCCGTGCTGGTACTCGCTGGTATTCTCCTGGTTATCGAGGCGATCGCGGTCAGCCAAGGTACGTTGCAATTTCGTCCGAAATCCTCAGAACGTTAGCGAACGACTAAACTTGTCCGACGAGAACTTGACTTTACCAACGAAACTTACCGCGTTCTTGCGGAAATACTCGAGATAACATACTCCTGCGAGACTAATCTACGTAATTGAATGTCAACGATGAAATCTGATACAGCACCCTCATTTTCGCGTTCATCTAGAAAACTTATTACTTAGCTAAAACTAAAGTACTACTGCAGAGTATAACCTTTGCAGTGATGCTGCAAAATCAAGTATGTAATGAGTGTAATAATAATGAGTATCTTCATATATGTGCGATTTAATTTTCCGCGTAAAAATGACCCTGTGTGTGAGTGTACTGCATATAAAAATAGATTTACACATTTAAATCTGTAAATCTATTTTATATTATAATATTTGTGTAGTATTTTCTAAATTCTTTAAAATAGAATCTCACTCTGAAAAGTGAAAATTTTGCCAGTATTAAAAGAATTTTTAATCTTTAAAAGTGAGATTTCACTCTTCAGAATGAGATTCCAATCCAAAGGATTTAGAGAGTACAGTGTTATTTTTTACACAAAAAAAATAAATCACATTTATAAAGGCACTTATTACATACTTGAATTTGTAGGTATCGATTGTAAATATCATCGATGCTTTTTCATGCCGTATTCTCTTCTCGTGCGAGTATAATACACTTCTATTACGATTACATACTTTTTAACGTTCGCATAGAAAAACATAATCACTAGTAAAATAGGTGTTCCGTAAAATCAAACGTGTAGCGTCGCAAGAAATCTCTGCTCCATTACGCTATATTGGAGCTTTAAGAACCTTCGCAAAGCAAGTTAAGTTTTTTCGCAGTCGTCTACCTCTAATCAACGCGCGCAGTCTTGCATTACTAATCGCGAATTAACGAGAAACACATGCTCAAAGAAATTCTCAAATGCTAATTAGAGCCAATACGTACTTAAGACTGGAAATCAGATTTGCACAGCGTTATTTCAAAAACGATCTAGATCTTTTCTTAACTCCCCAATGCATAATTATCTAGTAACTACACTAGATAACTACTATATCAAAATTTAAATGACACATAAAACCAAGAATATAATATATGCACATTATTTTTACATACATTTTTCACCTATAAATTAAACGTTCAACCGTGTAAGTTAAATCAAATTGATATCTATGTATAAACTTACATGTTAACTTCAGTAATGAAAAGACAAATCGTACTGGGAATATATCTCCTCCCCAAAGTCTCCTGAATTCCAGCAGCATCGGAATTTTCGCGCTGGCGTGAAATTGTGTGAAGTTACATAACATTTGCTCATTCGCGCAACTCCGGTTGTCGCTCATAGCAATCCAAAGTAATTACGTGGGCGAAGATTATGTCACTTCGACTGAACCGCACCAGCATCCCGTTTCTAACTTGCGGAAATATCTGCGCGGCGAGTTCGCGGGTGCCGAGTTTGGAAACATCGCGGTCGCATTCAGTCTCGCGCCGCTAATTGTCGGTTCATAGTCAGTGATCCAGGATAATTGCGCGGATGGTGGCTGCTCGAGTGCGAATGCACCGCTCGGGACCACGTAGCGGGAGATGGCATACGTGCTAATGCGCGGAAACACGTGCGAGAATTTGCTTCGTATACATTTTAAGCGTGCCACGACAACGACGACGACGACGACGACGACGACGACGACGACGACGACGACGACGACGACAGTGACAACGAGATGATTGCGTACCCACCACCAGCGACGTTTTACGACATCGTGTCACTTGAATAATTAAAAATTGTCTCGTTTGCTTGGTATTCACCGGACGGCGTCCTAGTATCGACTTGAGAATCGGAAACGTACAATCGTCACCGACTGGTTCCATGATTACGGATATGGATGAAGTCCTTACAATCAGAACGCGTGGCAAAATATGGCACGTATCAGAGACGCGAGTACACGGAGAGGCACAAACGGAACAAAAGCACTCGTCTCGCTTCGCATCGTCCGCGCATATTGGCTCGAGAACGTAATTGAGTGCGACGTGCAAACACTCGCGGCAATTGTTTTGCCGTTTGTCAAGGGAGACATGATTTCACCACTTTGAAACTAGTCTGGCAGCTGGAACGCGGTACTTCGCGAGAGATAACGAGCATTGTCTGTCTTTTTTGCAGCAAGACCAAAAAAAAAATTGGGGAAACAAAGAAACAGGAAAAATGAATTAATAACCAAGAGAGATAAAACGTAATAAAATATTCAAGTCAAAGTGCTTAAGAAATAAAGATGAGGGGAAAAATGGTTTTGCTGAAATATCTGAAAATTTAGCTAGACACGGATTTGAAAATAATTTTGTTGAATCATCAAAATAATGAGGACGCTTAAATGTCAAAATCTTTGTGCATTATCCACATTCTAAAGTGATATTTCACTCCCAAAGAGTGATAGTTGCAACAGTCAAGAGTAAAATTTTCACTCTTAGAGTCACTCTAAATTCCAAATGAGAATCAATTTTCAATCTATGTGGAGAGTGAATAATTTCACTCTCCGAAGGGAGAGACTGAAATTTCACTCTGATAAATGTTAAGTTTAGCCTCCCTACATTTAATCTAACAATTATTAGGATCATTCAACGTGTTTTTGTACAAAATGAACAAATATGGCAGAAAAAAGTGTCTCTGAAACGCGTTTCTCGCGAAACGAGATATCAAGTTGACTTTTTAAGTTAGATTAAGTAAATTTATTCCTGAAGGAGTGAAGTGAATTTACTCCTTGCCGGACTGACGCAACTATCAATTTTCTTGGAGTAAAATTTCACTCCCGAAAATTTAGAGCGCATGTTTAAGTATCCTATATTATTATTTTGGTGCAACCAAATTATTTGCAAATTATTTGCGTCCTTTCCGTGTATAAAAATGTGATTAAAATGCATTTGGTTTAAGACTTTCATCAACTTCTGGTGAAGTTAATCGACGATTGACTCGTAGAAGTGCCAATAACAGTTCAATGTATCACACACACAGAACTTCTTTCTCTTTCTCTTCCTCTTCTGATTGTGAGACAAACTACATTTAGTTCTAACATTGACAATCGATGGTTGATTTATGCTTGTTTTCTATCAATTATAATCTCGGTTCACCTAACTCTTCATCTTTTTTTTAGTTTTAAGAACAAGAATAAGATGAAGGGTAAATTGGACCGATTGACGTTAATCTACATTAATCTACATTAACAGGCATTAATTATCAATTAATTTAATCAGAGATTGGTGAAAAGATCCTTAGATATTAACTAGTACTAATTTGTTAATATAAAGAATGTATTACAAATATATTCCAATTATTGTAAAGTTATTGTAAAGTGTCAAAGTTTTAAATCAATTAAAAGTAGACAATGCCTGCAGTAAAATGCTCTTTTTATTCACGACACACGCAAGTATAATTTTTTTCATCCAAACGTTCAGGTTCGTCCATTAACTTCCCATTCAGGTATCGATCCGATATATTTGTGTGCGAATTTTATTGCTCTCGTCTAATTAATTGTTAACGAGCGCGGAAATACTTGCATGATCGACGATGATGCACAGATACAGCCGTGTGACGCGTATGCGTTTAACGCTAATGTGAGTTCAACGCCGACTTGATTGACGTATATGCGAGTCGCGGACATGTGGCTCGTTCGTGAAAGCATAATCGACGAACGACGATTCGGAGGTGCATTAGAAACTATTTGTAGCGGATAAAATTTAACGAACGCTTTCGATTAACGTTGAAATTAATACTCTCGCGCGCGATATCTACTGAATACTTGACCTGCTATACATTAATTTTTCGGAATTTCCTATTTCATGATAACGCCGCACGACCAATTTTCCGACAAAATATAAAGCTATTCGCAATTTTCGTGAAACAAGCAAATAATGAAACCGTCCGACATGACGCATTATACTAATTGCTATGCAGCCATCACACAAAAAAAAAGTGAAATAATGATTGCTTGTTAACAGGAAAGTGACAAAATGTAACCTTTTGAACATTAAAATAGTAATGAAAAATGACACTCTTTCAAATTTTCGAGTAATTAACGCATTTAAGCAATAAAAATTTTACTTTTATTTTCAATGGTCTACCTTTAGATAGCATATATACTATTATTCAGATATAATACTGTGAGTATAATACACTGAAGAGAACCAAGAATTGAAACGTTTGTACTTTTAATTTAATATTTGCATTATTACATATAAATAACTAGTGTCCCCTCACATTGGCTTTTCCTTGTTTTAATTTCTTTTGCGAGTTTATCAGTATAATACTATTACCAAATACTATTATTAATATTATACTATTATTCAAGTAATGCGAAAGATAACTTTTATCATCTGACGTAACACATACGTCAGATGATAAAAAAGAGATAAAATTTTAAAAATGCAACAAAGAACACAAATGTATTTTTTAAATATGCGAAAAATATTTGTTGTCTCCAAAAGTCTGAAACTAACTTAAAAGGACAAATTCACTGGATCAGTATCGAGTTAGCAACAGTGAGAGAGAGAGAGAGAGAGAGAACGAATAGCAATTGTTATCAGATGAGACAATAAAAATATGAATACAACGCTTATATTTTACAAATCCCAGGTTTACAGGAAAAAAAGATGATTATAAATGACCCATATAGACTGCAATGACTTTTTAGTAACTTATAAAAAAAACTTGACAAAAAACTGGATATAATGTTATAATTAGCATTGGAAAGGTCAATGCTGTTAATTCGACCAGAAATTATAACAAATTGCGTGCTATTGCAGTTCGATGTGAAGAACGCAAACTTGATCGAGCGGCTTAAATCAATTTAATCTGCGACAACGGCTCACACGCGAATTAATTAATACATAATTCGCGCCGCTCTTTGACGCACGCATTTTTAATATAATCCGCTTCCGGATGCAGCGCGTCGCGTGCATAGCGTAATTGCAATCGCTCATATAATCGGGAT